ATCAGAAACCGATAAGGAATCTTACATCAAATATGTTCTGAAGTCTCCAGTGCAGTTGTCTCTAAGTGCTTCTAACGGTATTGAAACCTCACTCTCATTCTCTATCCCATGTATTATCTTTAAATCTTAATTAGGTTTGGCTCTTCATTTCGATATGCGAAACTCAAGTTTCATCAAATGAACTTTGAAAACTGGTTTTACGGTACTTCAGTCAACAACACAATAGTTGGTCATTGCTTGAAATTAAACAGCTGCTATATCTCTGTGTACGTGTTTTCAGTTGTATTTATGGACAAATGATTGCAACTTTTACTTGACTGATTGCCATCAGTTTTCAGGTGGCTATAACTGTTTGCGTTTCGTTAGTAAAAGAAGTAACTATCATACTGAAGGACAAAAAGTTACAAATAACAACCAGGTAGTCTTTCCGTATCACAATGATGAACAAGCCTTCTAGTCTTGATTGTTGAAATGTTCAAAGCACTCAAATAGTAGATCGTCAATTCTCTAAAAGACCTTCTACTTTGCACTGATTCAAACACATTATTGCGTTGTTTACGAAGTGGGATATAAAGGGAAACATGCGGGATCGAACAATATTGACGTTACAAATGAGCGAACTAAAGACTGTTGGCATAGTGACACAGAGTTGTACTGATGCCGACATACAGACGCCGTAATTTCGAATACTTGATATCAGTGGAAAAAGAACGAAATGTAAATTTGCACAAAGTTGACTTTACTTCCCTGCCGAAACATGCGATAAGTGTACCATGGCTATAGATGATGTAATTACCAATCATATTTGGTATAGGAAAAACGAAGCTGCTTTACATAATTGAAGGAACATGAATAATATATGATGTTCTATTGGTGTGCTGTGATTTGAGTCTGGGCCATTTATAGGTGGTCTGTGATGCACTGACGTACTCATTCATGCTAGATTTACAACTCATGAAAAGCATCGTACACCATGTTGTGTTTTAGAAAAACTAATTTTTTTGTTGGTCACTCAAATGAATAAGAGTACCTTCAAGGTTCCAAAAAAGAACTTTAAAGACAGTTTTTACAAAGAAATTTTGATTAAACTTTCTTTCACAACATGATAAACATTGCGGTAAATAAAAAAATGGTTATATATATGGTTTATATTACTGAGCAGCTTGGTTACAGGAAGTAAAGGCATTATCTTGTGTCACTGAGTGACAGAAAGGTAAATGTTAGAATTTTGTTAAGAAATGCTATACTTCAAATTAACGCTGTTCCAAACCAACTAGTAGGGCTGTAAAAACTTGATAGTAATGAATCGATTGTGATAAGAGAAGTAGAAACTGAAAGCTTACCTACAACAAAGAAGGTGGCTAAATAGAAATCCTGGTTTACCTTTAAAAACGGTATTGACCTGTCATCAACCGATTTCGAAGCTGGAAACAGTGAGTGGTCGTTTGAATGTTTAAGAGTGTACAGATAAACCTACGACATTGGTGATGTTGCGTTGACCTGTTGAAATTTAACCGAGAGGATAGTAGCGTTATCGCAGACAAAGTGGGCAAATTTACATGAATTATTTCGTAAAGTGGATTACATTGTTTGACTTTAGATCAATAATCAACACCTATAGTCGAAGCTCACTGTTAATAGTAGACGTGCTGTTACATGAAATGAGGTAATGTTTATGATGGATAACAATCTGAGTGAAGAGGATATAGAAAGGCATACGGAGCAACAAGCGATCCTCAATTTTTTTATAGTGTTATGTCAACAATAATACTGCTAACCCATAATTTCGACAGAGGAAAACGAATCATAATTGTTTGATGATATACACTTGGCTATTTAAATGTGAAAATGAGATATGTAATATACATATATACATATGTAATATATAAATCTAGCATACGTTCACACAGCCGTGTTCAATTAAATATGTAATATGGAAAGCACACATTTAAAAGTAAAAAAAAACTCAGCCAATTGTAAAACCGAAAAGCGTTTCTTGGTACAGGAGAAACGGTGTTCTTTATACAAACAATCAGAAAAATCGGCTAAAACTCAGATACTCAGCTAACGGTTGATTAAAGCAAAACTCGAGACAGCTGAAGGAACTTCATATGACAGCAGAAAAACGACTGAGCACTTAAATTGTAAATACAAGAGAAACAACAATCTCACCTAATCTGAAAATAATTTTACACATATGATTGGAGAGATTAAAAGCTATAATAATGAATGCACATTTAAACAAAAGAGTGTCGTGCAGAAAGTTTATCGAAGGAATGTTTACATACATGTAGGATATTTCAGGTAAGATATGTGAATCTAAATGTCACCTTCTACACCCTATGAAGTTGGGTAGCTACGACATTACTAAAAATATCTGAAAGTATCATACAAGAAAAATGAGAAGCGTCATTTTCTTTTATATTGCAGCAGACAGTTTTGTGACCCAATTGAAGATCCTAACACTGATCGAAAAAATAAACAGGAAAGCAGGCATTTTAAAATCAGATCATCATGAAGTGAGGACGTCACTGGAAAACTTATTAAAGCGATATTTTGTAGTTAGAGCCCGTGAATGATGAGATTCTGGAGAAATTACGACTAAAACTTCAATGTGATTGGTTGGGTCTATGGTTTGTTTGTACTTATTTTCTTATTTTGTTGCGTCTCACTATTAAGGAACTGAGTTTTATTTCATGACAATGATACTAGAACGGAGAACGTTGTTTACTCGGGTTTATCAGTGTTACTGAGAAATGAGTACTTCTGAAATCATTCAGTTTCGTCACGGTCTGCAACTCTGGTTACTCAAAAAACTTTCATTTTCATTAATCAATATAGTATCATGTAACGAAGGTTAGATTTATATCACTAAATACACGAAAAACTCTCCTGCTTATAAATTGAAGTGAACTAGTTCTGTTTTATTATCACAAATAGTTTTGATGTAGTTTGATAATAAAATGTCTACAATCACATGGACGATTGCTGTAGATATGATCGGCTTATTTTGAGCTCAATCAGTCTTTAAATTAATACTCAAGGTAAAATTAAGTATTACGATAACTGAAGCTAAATCTGTAAATACAAACCTGCATCTTCAGGGAAATACTGATTACAACGCATATTGTAAATTTGTTCACTACTAAAATATACAACAAGGAACTTACTTAAATTATATTATGCAAATCAGAAATCTGGTTAACGTCTTTTTAGCGAGTTGGTTTTCTACGAGATTCCAGCGGAGGAAGCAATCAGGAAGAAACTTTGGAAGTGAATAGGACACACATTGAGGAAAACACCCAACTACATCACAAGGTAAGCCCTCACATGTAATCCTCAGGGTCAAAGGAGAAGAAGAAGACCAATGAACACATTACATCGAGAAATGGAGACAGACACGGGAGGAATGAACAACAACTGGATAGAACTAGAAAGGTAATCCTAAGACAAAGTGGGTTAGAGAATGCTGGTCAGCGGCCTATGCTCCATTGGGAGTAACAGGCATAAGTTAGTAAGTAAGTATGCAACTAAGTTAATAAGTAAGTAAATCAGAATTCATAATACTATGTTTGATAACATTGTACGGCAATATTATATTAAATATGAAATATAAATTATTAATCACAAGTTTTGTGATGTGCGCTACTTTTATCCACATAAGTAGTATATAACGATTTATTTATTTATTTTTAACACATAGGTACAAGGAGGCACCAAATACATATGCGCCACACAAATCCCATTCGATATGTGTGAGGGCTGTGATACTGCCCGGATGCCCAAACCGAAGCAGGTGGTTTTCTTAGGGGGCCACTCCCCGAGCCTTCGACCTGAAGGTCTGATCCACAAGGCAGTAGAGCATCGTAAGGAGATGCAGTCTCATGGAAGCCGGTGACTAACAATTGGTTCATACGCCATTTGTTCCCGCAGGATACTGGAGCCCATGTGCACCATTGGTTTGGAATCCGGTTATAGCGCCGGACATTCGCTTTTCGTCCTCTCATTTTCGTAAACAACACCCCCGCCACGAGAAGGCAGTGAGTAGGACTTCCCTGGCAGAGGCTGTATACGCGCGGCCATGTGAGAGTATTTCGAGAGGGAGAGCGGACTCTCCCCACTCTCGGCCGTACCAGGGCATTTAGGGGCAGTATATAACGATAGTCAAGAATAGAATGTATTTCAGTAGAAGATCGAGAAGGAAAGAATGGGAACGGAAAGCAATTGATACAAAAATCCAGGAACAATAAAATCTGAGACGATGGACTGATATTTGCAAACGAAAACGTCAAGTTTGAGACAATGGATTGATATTTTGCAAATGAAATATTTACTGTATTATTCTCGGATTTTAGTGAGACGTTCTGTAATTTCATGTTCAAAGCACATTTGATTATCTCCACTCGCGTTCTTGTTCACTACAGTTTTACATACTGATCTAATGGTTATTAAACATTCAAAATATACCCATATTGTATAAGTTGTATATTTATTCAAGATAAATGGATCATTTTATAACCAAACAAAACTAATGAAGGTCAATCTAACAATGAATATTTTGTTTTGTTTCTTCAATAATAATAATAAGAAGAAGAAGAATATGGTACAAATATATTGAATGTTCCACGACTAAACTAATCCAGCTCAGAGAATAAAACTCCATCAACATTGAATGTAAACTATTTGATGTAAATAATTTATCAACAAACATCAATTGTTTTTAATATTTATTAAATTTTTTTAAAATTTTTCTATTATGGACAATCATGAGAAGTATAATGATGGTAAATAAATTTTAAAAAATAAATAAATAAATAATATTAAACTATAAATATAATCCCAATAATGATTGAGGATAGATAAGAAGTTATTTAATAAGAAGTAAACTATAAAGTTATTTACATTTGCTATCACCAATAATAACAGTAATAATAGTAATAGTGATAATAATAATAATAATAATAATAATAATAATAATAATTATCATTATTATTATTATTGGGTGATATGATATAAACAGTTTACTTTCCACTTTAATTAGAATACAATAATTAAATTGTTAAAGGAGATGAGTTTATTTCTTTAAAATCTTATGTTCATAGATATTTCATCATTTGTTTATCAAGATTCTTCATTGGAAATCTAGTAATTCAACAAAAAATATGTTCAAATACGTTTGTTTGTTCGTTTCATATTCATTATTGTGGAGTATTCAATGTCGACATGAAGATTTCAGTTCTTTTACTAATACTAATACTACTACTGATATTAATACTAATACTACTACATCAACAAGTGTTTCTGATAACAGATCGATTCAAATTAAAGGAATTCTTCCAGGTGTTGGTTTGCTTATTGGGATTTTAGTTATTCTTATATTACTTATAAAGTGTTGTCGGCCTGATAAATTAACTAATAGTATGAGTCGAAATAAAATATCATTTTCACATTATGATGAAACTAAAATTTGGTCGACAAATTTAGAAAATGAAACTACTCGAGAGTACGGTGATTTACAAAATGAAAATGATGATTATGATTGTAATGAGAATACCATTACAAATAGTTCTACGTATATAATGCAGTCAACTGACGATGATACGTCATCATTGGACTTGGAAACACAAGAGATGAATGAAAACAAGTGGTGTACTATGTCAAACAATGTTACATCATTGACAATGGAGAAAAAGCAAACTTAGAACCAGTGTTTATATATAAATCATTTCAAATCTAATACATTTTTAATAACTGACAAACATAAATCAACCGTAACGAAATAAGACAGAGATAGAAATGAAAAATGATTAGATCAAACGGCTTAACTGGTTATATATTTCATTTGTTTATACATTCATCGACCCTGATATATTTATATATACGAATTTCAATAATTTCTCAAGTTTAACCGGATTATTCAAAATATAACGTCTGGTAAGAAAAATTGATAGCTGTAAGATGTTTCTTCAGAGAAGTCATTAACACTATAATCACTACCTAGTAAATGAGAATATTATGTTTTTTTGAAAACGTTTTAAAAATGAACTCAAATGGCATTGATTATTACACATATATTTTCACTTTAAATAATGTTACATCATAATGTAAATAGTCAGATCATTATTACCCCGACCCATTGTTAACAGAAAGGAGTGAACTGAGAAATAAATAACAACAAAAAGAAACAATAATAAAAAATAAATTAATCATTTGAAAGCGTAAAAGAAATAACTTGATGTTTATATTTTCATGTAATGGCTTTAACAATGATTATTAGTAGTATAATTAGACCGTTGATTTCAGACAGAGTAGTGAAATAACGTGTTTAAGGTTAGTTGCTTATCATTCGTCTAATGTTGTTATTTGAATTTTACTCTTGAATATCGAGTTCATAATAACTAAACAGTGATGTCGATCAACAGCATTTGGCCACATTTAGTGTTATCTACAGAAATAGATATGAGTTAGTAAGAAGATAACTGGGTGAACTAGTCAACCAGGTAGACAATAACAAATGGCTGTGTAAGCACAAATAAAAGGAATTAATTAAAGTAATCAAAATTTTGTAAGAAGATATATGATTTAGCAGATGCTCAGGGTAACGAGAAAGGCGTACAGATTTATGATAAATACGAAGATTAGGTATTTTGTGAATATTGCTTTGTCTTTTATTTTATGAAAAAGTATCAGTCTTAAGGCATATGATGTGTCTGACGTGATTCGAATAATACCCTTACAAGCCGCATTAGCGTAAATTCGCATTTCTCTATCACCTAGATATGTGTATGCCAGGTTAATTTTGAAGCTTATCTTCTGGAGTTGGATTTATTATCGCTTAGCTGAAAAATTAAGAATAAAGCCTCTTTGCGTTTAATATTTTTTTAAAACATTCAGTATATGTTGTGTCACGATTTTCCTTACTACATTACTCTTATATGTATAAAAAAGATTAAGAGATACTGATCGTTTAGGATTGTTAATATTAATGACTTACATACTTACTTACTTACGCCTACTGTCCCTCGTGGAGAAGCATAAGCCTCCCACCAGCACCTTCCAACAAACTTTGTCCTGGGCAAACCTTTTCAGTTCTTTCCAGTTGCTATTTATTCTTTTCACGTCTGTTTCCAATTCTAGACGTTATGTGTTATTTGACCTTTCTCTATTCCGTTTCCCTTCAGGATTCCATGTTAGGGCTTGACTCGTGATATAGGTTGGTGATTTGCGTAATGTATGTCCCATCTATTTCTATCATCTTTTCCTAATTTTCTCTTCAGATGGAAGCTGGTTTGTTCTCTCTCGCAGTAGACTGCTGCTGATGTCACCCGGTTAACGGATGTTGAGTATCTTGCGTAGACAACTATTTATAAATACTTGAACCTTCCTGATGATGGTTGTGGTAATTCTCCTCATATCAGCTCCATACAGTAGAACTGTCTTGACGTTCATATTGAGGATTGTGAGTTGATATTGGTTGGTAGACAGTTGTTTTGAGTTTAATATGCTCATCAATTGTAGGAATAAGGCCCCTGCTTTCACAATCCTCGCCTTTACGTCCGCATCCGATCCTCCATATTCATCAATGGTGCTGTCCAGGTACGTGGAAGAGTACACCTCTTCCAAAGATTCTCAATCAAGTGTAATTGGGTCGGTATTTTCTGTGTTGTATTTCATGATCTTGATTATTTCTTTGTGTATGTTGAGGCCTACTGAGGTGGAGGCTTGTGCTTCACTAGTTGTCTTCATATGGATTTGTTCGTGTGTATGAGATAGAAGGACCAGGTTATTTGAGAAGTCCAAATCTTCTGATTCATTTCAAGCTGTCCATTGTATTCCATGTTTCCTCTCAGATGTGGAGATTTTCATAATGCAGTTGACCACCAGAAGAAAGAAGAAGAAAAAGGGAGAGAATAGGCAGAATTTTCCGACTCTGTTCCTTACTCTGAATGCATCTGTCAACTGTCCCTCACGCACCTGGAGATATGCTCCATGTTAATATACATTCAATAATAGAAAATTTATAATTTCAGCTATTTACCAACTCACTATATTGCATCTATCTTACTTTGCATAATGTTGTAGCATTGGTTTGTTCTATAATATGGATTGTTTTATTCAAACATCTTTCCATCATCTTCTCACACTGAAATCAAAAATAAAATAGTCAAATAACTTCTAAAACAAATTAAACATTTTACAAAAGTAATGAATATACCTTTGGAAATAATTGTCATAATGCCATAAAGTTAATATACATTTTCAGAACTTAAACGTTTATAAATTAAACTTTTAGTAACGCCTCGAACACGTAATTAAAAGATCACTTTTATGGGAAACTTTATGTAAAAGGGATTCTTATATATATTGGATTATAGCTCTAATTGTTATGACCTGATCTATACGACATCATGAAATACGATTGCTTGTTTAGATACGCTGACTTATACGATCAAACTAATGACGCATACACCTGTACCAGCAGCTCAGAGTTCTGATTGGTCCTTTGTCCGTCTTACCCTGTCTATTTAGTCCAGAACGTCAATCTTGACCTCCAAGATACGAACCATATATTTTGAAAATACTTGGTTTATATACAAGCAAATCAGACTACATCACACCATAAAGCAGAGAATAACATTTGTACAAGTTCAAGCCGAAAAGTGGCTGTGACTGTGAGAGACTGTGACTAATGGATTGAGAATAGTAAATCATATTATAATAGCCATTAGGTCGAATAAAAGCCTACAATGAAAGGAATATGAATGTACATATAATACAGTCATTTAATAATAGTCATAAAATAGGAATATGAGTATAATATTAGCCCGTACGTAATTTCTAACGTTTACCATTCATTTATCCTCGTCCGGATATAATACTTATACATACTCATGCTAAAACATATCTTTCTATTTCTCAGTAGTTCGAATCAATCTTTATAGGTTGAACTAGGAAAAGAAGTTAATAATGAAATTTCTAACTTGATTCACTTATCAAATTTAATCCAGTTATAATATCAGTCCAATTTTAACGAATTCTGTTTACATTGAAATATATGAATTCTCAAAGTATGATCGCTGTGCTTTTGTATCTTATGACCCTGGTAATGTCCAGAAGTGTTATCCCGATTCTATCTTTACATCACCCCTGTAAAAATGATCTTTACGTGATTAACAAACAGTTTACTGAAAGCAAATACATTAACCTATTTCGTATAAGCTAACAAAAGAAAAAAAAACATAGATTATAAACATAAGTTAAGATTGTTTATATATATATATATGTATCAGTGGGAAAGGTTTCCGTTGAATGATGCCATATGACTTAATGAATGGACAAGAATGGCAAATTATAATCCTGACTATGCCTTTGAAAGTGTTCCAGGGGTTACCCATGGATTGATATTAAGTGATACCTTGTCTTGTGTTTGTCAGTAGTGTGTAGTAAGTTTTAATAATTATCCGTTTATATTGTTATATTTTTGATTTAGATATTTTCCCGTGTTCAACTTTTTTTATATATTGCCTCACGGTACTTTGTTAGAACTCATCTCAATTACCGCTTTCAGTTATTACCATCCAGCTCAACTTAAGACTCAGTTTATATATTGTACTCAAGCCTACACTTGCACTAATTCTTCTAACGTAAATGTTTTAGGTCACAGGACATCTCTATGATCTGTAACTATGTGACAACCAACAATAACACTAGGAACTACATCAAACAGAATGAAGATTTTTACAAGAATATTCACTATCAACATAATGATTACAAAGATAATTGTAACAGAACTCATAACCGAGTACTTATACTTAACGAAGCCAGTTTTACAAATTGGTTGGCTTATTCAAACTATTAACCGTTCATACAACTTTGCAGTTTAGTCCATCGGCTTTCATACTTACCTCACTTGCTCACCAGTTAGTCAGTAAATTATGGATTATATTAAACGCATTGATTTACACTTGTATGATTCCTGTTTGTAATAAAATGTAAATGATATCTGGCTTATATCTTGTCTTATTGCGAAGTACTCAGAAAACCCCTGTATCACGATATATCAATTGAAATCTTCCAGATTTTTAAACTTATTATTGTAATATGGTATTATCTGCAATTCTGAATTGTAAGTTAGTCGATACTCCATTAAAATAAAATATACAGAAGTTCTACAGTAAGTATTTGGATTTTTAAGTAGAAATTCCATACACTGATTTTGTACAGCAGCTTCACAAATAGCATGTTGAAATCTGTAATCTACTTTCAGACAATGTTTTTTTGGCGTCAGTGACAAATTTTGAAACTTATGATAAATTCCTAATGCCTAATAGGAATATTCGCAGTTTACACTAGAATGCTGGGTGTATAGAATTCTCAAGCTGTATTAGCTAAACATTATCGACAATAATGACATGTCATTGATTAAATATCTCTATCCAGCTGAACACTGACCAATTACTATGAAAAATCATTTTCCAGGGTCTGTCATAGTTACAGACATATTAATAGCAACATCTGTTGAGTTGTTATTTCCTATGTTCTCTAATTCATATTTTAGCGAAACGAATTGATCCACTTGTTGTTAAATGTTGATAGTGTTACAGTCGGTGTGTTAAATTGGTAGATAATTAAAACTAAGTGTAAAATCATTTACATGACAACTGAATAAATACAACAACAAAAGATCTAGTTTACCTGATGTCTGAAAAATAAATAAAATGCACAAGTTGATTTAATATATTTTTCAATCTGTTCATCCACTGAAGTTGAGTTTAAATATGTTTGCCATTTGGTAATATATTGTATACACATAGAACAAGCTAAGTAAGAGAGTGAAAGATTTTGATTGATCGAAAATTGACTTACTGGAATTGTCGTTTGAATGGTAATTAACCGATTCTTCTATGTTCGACATATCCACATCCTGAAACATGTAAATTTGTAAAATAAATAACTGTGAAGAGAGAGACCCTGGGCTTGTTATATGTCAAGTTAAGTAGTAAATATTGAAATAATCATAGTCAAAAGTAGAAGATCATTTATTTTATTCATGTTTAGAATAAAAACTGGTTATTTAGCAATCATCATGACATCCTAATGCAGAAAATGACGTTTAACATTTGCGACTAAAATATTTTGATAGAAGTATTGTGTAATATACACCTGAATCGAGCTTCGATTCATTTAGATGTTCAAAACAATTTCAACAATTGTTTTCTTAATCATGACAAGTGATCGTGAATCGTGCTATTATCATTACCGACTTATACATATCGTCAATCCTTGCATATACTTATCAACTTAACTAGCGTCAATAAATAACAGAATTAAATAAGTCAAATACCAGAACGAAGTTCTGAATACATACATTTCATACAATGGTTGATCCAGACAAACGACCAGAGAAATGAAGTGAAGAGAAGAGAGCAGAACCTAAATGTTTCTGTACGACAAAATAAAACTATTATCTAGTTCCGAACCCTATATGGAAATAGATCTTACAAGTACATAGATAAAAGAAAGTCCGCTGATATATTAAACAGCTTTGATTATTTTTGAGATATTTCTCTACTTCAATACGATAAGTCTGATTAATTATTACAAGTAATAACTGACGATTTATATTTGTTTGTAATATGTGTTTCACTGATACTAGTCAAAATCTTTATGTTTATCTAAATATAATATTTTGAAAATTTAATAATATATTTGTATATTCGAAGAAAAGTGAAATGTATGATTATCAAAGAATCATTACAAACTATTATTTACTACTTTGTATTCATATGATTATTCATAAAAAGCCCTACTTATTTTAAAATACAAGAGACTTAAGTTTTATAGGGGAAAATCCAATAATGAAGATGCTTGAATGGGTTTCGATTATTAGTTTTTAACGCTTATATATTTCACTGATTAAAGTCATGAGTCAATTGAAGCTAGACCACCATGGGAAACCTGGAAGCACTGGACGGCCGTTTCGTCCTAGTGTGGGACTCCTCAGCGGTGCGCATCCACGATCCCACCTCTCGGGATCCGAACCCAGGACCTATCAGTCTCGCGCCTGGCGCTTAACTAACTAGACCACTGAGTCGGCATCCAACGGTGTTAATGTCTAACTTCAACTACTGCACGAAGTTGCGCCACCGTACACCATTGTGTTCAGTGAGTTGATATCTCACAACAGACCCGGTTGAACTCCACTTGTAACGGCTTCTCAATAGAACTCCAGGAGTATCTCTTGAAGTCAGTCACTAGTGAGCAGATGACTATTATCAGAATGGGTTTTGTGGAGATTTTAGAAATTTCACTGGTTGAAATCATGAGTCAATTGAAACTAGACCACCATGGAAAACCTGGAAGAACTGGACGGCCGTTTATTATCTCCATTTCATTGAAATAAATCCGATTCCCAATAAATGACTAAAAAAATTTAGAGTAATGAGGATTGAAATAAGGATAATATAATGCATATTATATATATGTAGTAACTGTTATCAAAAAGGTTTACCTTGACAGTGTAGGATAAGGTGACTCCAACTTGAAAAAATAAGAAGCAAAACAATAATTAATCATTATTCAACTTTAAAATATGCATAATCATACTTATCATAGTGATTATAACATAGATAAAGTATTTCATGATGCTACAAAATAGTTTCTATTATTTTGCATTAAATATAACTGACATTTATATTAATACGGAATCTTTCTTGTTACATTATTCAATATTATTATACACAATATAGTTTGAAGTTCAGTCTCATTCACTTCTATATCAGGTAATGTATTTTGTTATGTAATAAGTTGTTTATTATTTTTATATACTAATCTGTTTAAAGTTAATTCAAGTGTTTCGTAGGCAGATAAAAACGAAAGGTGTAATTCACTAAAAACATTTTGTTAAAACGTTTTTTTAAATAAAAATAAACATTTATGGATGTGACGCATTTTCTACCTGATCCGATCACAGCTTATCTGATCAAATTTCTATGAAGAATATGTTTGATGAATTTTAAAATGATCACATAACAATCATGTTTCTTTCATTTAAGAATGATGAACAATAAAGGCCAATACATGAATGTATAACAATTATTCACTATGTTAATGGTATTGTAGTGAATGAGAACACATTGGATGGGACAGCCAAAAGTACATTACAGAATTTCTTAGTAAAACCTGAAAACAATACAGTAATACTTCATTTGCAAAAGATTCACCAATTGTCTCAGACTTCACTGTTCTTTAGTTTCAACATCAATCATTCCCTGTTCTCATTCTATTTCCTTCGATCTTCTTAATCTTCTGCCTTGAGGCATTTCACTTTTGATGGTGTTATATACTACTTATATCTATCGACATAAGTAGCACACACAGCAGTATCAGGTTCTTTAATAATTGAATTCATGAGTCAATTGAAGCTAGACTACCATAGAATAACTGAAACAAATGGACGGCCGTTTCATTCTAGTATGGAACTCCTCAACAATGCGCATCCACGATCCCGCCTAGCAAGATTTGAACCCAGGACCTGCCAGTCTCGCGCGTGAACGCTTAACGATTAAACCACTTAGTCAGCATTCAACGGTGTTAATATCTAACCTCAGCCAATCACTTTCATCATTAATGAAATAACCAACTTGATTTTGTAAGATCATTATGCAAATGGTTAAAGTTCAAACATATAAAATGTCAGAAAATTCTCTACACAACAATTCTCAATATATCTTGAATCACTGATTCATAGTATTTCCTGGTTATCATTGTGAAGATGATAGTTGCAATCACAATCGAGCAAAAAGAAGACACTTATGTTGTCATTATGGTTAATTTTGAAGAAAACGTCCGGACTGAGCTATGTTGAAACAAAAAGCAAGAGATGAACTTGAAGAAACATCTATATTAATATCATTTAAACTGAGAGATGTTGAATCAACCAAATAACTCCGTAGATCAGCTCACTGTTTGTCAAAAGCATCTTTATAGTAAGATATGGGTCAGAGAAACGACCCGCATATTGGTAAATATTCAAAGATATATTCTTTAAATGATCGAGATTTGATGGTAATCCCATGAACTATTGGAGTTTCATACGGAATTTCGAAGACTGTTTCTGTGAAAACGTTAGATACCGAACTAGGTTAAGCTATTTGATTCAGTATTGGGACGGTGAAGTCTAGGCCACTATTGTTCATTGTTATTTGCTCGTACCAGAAGATGGCTATCGTAAAGCGTTCGGTCAGAAGCACATCTGACCCAGATAATTTAAGAATATCGTCTCTTGAGATGCAGAGTAGTGGGCTAACGCTGAATTCTACAAGACTATCGAGAGTATGGATAGAGAATACAGGTGGGCAGTCTGTGCTCCCCCACGGGGGGTTAACAGGCGTAAGTAATTCACTTGTCTATAACAGATTGTAGTATCTCACCGTAAACAAATAAATCACTAAGAGGCAAGTATGCCAGATTATTTCGACCTCATAAATCCACTGATATTTAAAACAAACTGAAAATTTTTTTATCAAAAGCTGACAAATACCGGCTTTTGATAACAACTTGAAATTTACGAGTACTTGATAAAAGGTTGCACTGAAACGGCCAGAAAAATTGAATCTTTCTGTTTTTTTTAATTTTGACGAGATCTTTATTTCTCGTGAGTATGATTCTCATTGCATCTCCTCTCAGTCTATATCATTAGTTTAAACACTTCCTCTTTGATTTGTTTACTTAATTACAACCCACCAATCCATGATACATAAGTCACTCAATGTTTTGTATTTTTGTCTTACAAACGTAAAATGTATTGATGACTTATTTTCTATTTTCTACTGCGCTGGTGACAAAATGTGCTTTGACCAATTTGAGACAGATGACTTTGAATTTCTCTCCACAAGATATTATCATTAATTGATTGTTAATATTAAAGGTATTATGATTTACTTCGGTGCCCACCGGCAATTAAATGCGAGATGAGTGTTTCGTCTTATATCACATTTCTTAGCTGTGTGTATTAGCATAACAGCGTTAATATTTGCACAGAAATTCAAACGACATAATAATTGTTTCAAACAACAATGAGTTGTCTGTTGAGTTATTATGTTCAGATGAACAGCTATTTGTTCAAAGAGTGTGATATTAATGTACATGAGTTGTTTATTTAATCCTGATTATAAAGAGCACAGTAATACAAACAAGTAAGAATAACATTGTCTCACATCTTTTTGATCATATTTTTATTTACAGTTATATTCATAACATGTATTTCATTATGCTTAAGTATTTATCAAATTGTGTTCAGCAAACAAGCAGGATAATAATAAGCTAGATACTTTGGAAATAAATGACATATAACAATATAGCATGATGATATCTTCACACCGTATTCGACTTCACTTGGTATCCTATAAACAGGTACTCCATCAACGGTAATGCTTAAGGCTTACAGAATCAACCATCATCCTGAATGATATGAATAATAATGGTCTCTCTGAAGCCTTAATTATTCCGTTGGGCTAGAACTGTAAGAAGCTATAGAGAAAATAGTTTCTTCATAAAATTTATTTTGATGTTACGTGAATTTCTCACTAATAACTAAAATGATATACGAATATTATATGGTTGAATTTTTTGAATAAACACGTAATGAAAACGTGTAACTTTTATTAGACTAAATTTATCGCGTCGGTGAGCATCATTAACATATTTAGTATCGGAAGGGGTTTTGTAGATTTTGTGTAGTTCTAGTAAGATGTAGTGACCAGTGGAGCTCAACTGGGTCTATTGTGAGATAGTAACTCACTGAAGACATTGGTGGATTTGTCGTTCAATTTCGTGAATTAGTTGAAGTTAGACATTAACACCGTTGGATGCCGGCTCAGTGGTCTAGTTAGTTAAGCGCCAGGCGCGAGACTGATAGGTCCTGGGTTCGGATCCCGAGAGGTGGGATCGTGGATCCGCACTGCTTAGCACCCCCACAATTGGACGGAATGACCGTCCAGTGCTTCCAGGTTTTCCATGGTGGTCTACCTTCAAATGACTCATGATCTCAACTACTAAAAATTAACATATTTGTTTCTTGTATGAATGCTACAGGGTAAACATAGTTTGTTCATTGAATCATATGTTATCCTCTCCTAGAAGAAAGAAATCAAAAGATACTTTAACTAATGCATCAAAATCTATTTTGATGTAATTAGGCGTAAAATTTTGTTCTTTCTGTATAACTTCCAAATAGGAAACATTTCAAGTTTGAATACAATCAGAAATTACTACGCGGTTAAAAATTGTTGTGTCCCGATAAGAATAATGAGTGGTAATTTTTTGGGATCTATTTATGGATCAATATTGTGCGTATATTTTTGTCGTATAATTGTTAATTAACTAAACTATTCATATTCATGTCTCTCTTATCATAAGCTTTATTTTAACCTATGAACTGTTATTATACGATTTTTCATTCTTGAATTATGCCCTGTCTATCAATCACTACCTCCCACATTCACAGCCAAATTCGGCCAAATCTTGTACGAATGTTATTTTCTATTTTATGGTACGATGTGGTCTGCTTGATTGGTATATAAACTCAGTATGTTTGAAATATAATGATTCATATCGCAGAGGCTGAGACTTGTGTTCTGGACTTAACTGGCTGGGCTAAGCATGAAGCAGGGCCAATCAGGACTCTAGGCTGCTTGCACGTATTTTACGCGTCCTTGGTCCGATCGATAAGTCACTGCCCTCTAATCGGCGGTCACAAGTTATAACAAAAATAAAACGTATCTGGTTGTTACTTATGATTTTTCTTTAATAGCACTCTTCAATATGCCAACTAATAGAACTCATTTTGTGTGTGGTTATGTATTTACGATTAGTTTGCAATAATGTATTTTACTTATGTTTGTTTCATTGAAATCATCAGATTTAACACGTTTTGAAGAATTTCATCAGTTGATTAAAATGGCAGAAAATGTAGATGAATAAAAAATTACTGTCCATATAAAGTTGGGAAGAAGTTGAACACTACAGCAATAGAAAATTGGTTATAAATAGCTTTTCATATATGATCATACAGATAAAGCGGACGGAAGAGGGTACAGTGAGTTCATAGAGACTTATCGCTGTTATAAACATTATAAATAAATTGGATACGGTATATAAAAACGATAGCATTAAAAAAAGTGCCGAAAATAGGCATAGATGAATAAGTTACAGTTTCTTTCGTTCTGATTATTCAATCTCTGAATCACCTGCTTTTCAACTATGTGAATATTCCGGTACATTTGACTGACTTGGATTTAGAATAACATATATAAGCGAACAATATTATTTCCGACTAGAGCCTCAGTAAGCTTTACTTCGATATACGGTAATATTTATATGCATTTATATGCTATAAGAAAAGTCTTTACATATAATTTCATAATATACTTGTATGGAAAGCTCATAATCATTCATGAGCTTAATACCTAACTATTCAAACAGGAAATACTATCATAAATAGTTCGTTATTCCTTTACTATTCTTTGAACAGTTGAGAC